TAAGATCATGAGCACTCCTTTTCATAGTTAGCTGGAAAAAAGAAAACATACTGGAAATAAGTAAAAGGTCTTCCAACACATTTACTGACTTAATATTTATGAAAATCTTTATGAATCAGATACTGAAGCAAGTGCTGGGGAAAAAGAGGTGAACAAAACAGACAAAGGCTGCTATTCTGAATTCAATTGGTTTTTAAAAATAATTTCAAATATGGGTATGTTTTCTTTTAGTAGATGATCCTGACATGCCTCACAATTGGTGACAGCATAAACATGGCATGACACATTAGTTGCAAAACCATAATCTAAGGATAAGGACCCTGGCCCAGGATTTAGGAGGCTTGGCTTCTTATTTTGCCTTGGCAGACAATGTTCTGATTCCTTGACTTAGTTTTCCATGTCATGAAGTGGGAATGCTGATGCCTTTTCCCCACTCTATAGGGGTATCATTAGATTAAATTTAAAGGGCTGAAATAAATGTACTTTACTACTCTGGAATGTAATTATTTTTTAGCATTATCATCTTAAGCTAATTCTAGAATTGGCATGAGAAACAAGTGCATCGAAGTACTGTAAACTACACTATCATAATAGGGGTTATAACTATCATTTAATGTACATCTGAGAACAATATTTTAAAATTATGATAACCAGGAAGGATAGGTTGATAAAGAAAGAAAATATTATAATAAAAATATAAAAGTCAGATAATTACCCAACTAAATAATTTATACAATACCAAATACTCAGACTCTATACTAAGTTCATTTGTTATCAGATATCCAAATTCATAAGTTGTCAACTGTTTCATTTTTTGTCTTGACACAGTGATTTGTCATTAACTGGATTTAAAAAATTAAAGATAAATTCTGTAAAAGTTCTTCTCTGATGTTCAGTTAAGTAACATGAAATAATTGGGTTGTTGGCAAGATCTGCTGATGATAGTGAAATACCCCCGAGGTCTCATTAGGCACAGCTAAGAAACTTCACAGAATTTGCCTGCAAACAGGATATGTGGTAGCCCTGGTGAGGCTCAGGAGAAAGGCGTTGTCCAAACTTGCCATTTTTATGTCAACAAAGACTTACTGTAGCTGGGCTAATTGGCGTTTTTAATCTTACAGCTTCTTTCTTTGTGAACTAACAGCTGCCTGGGGCCCTGGCCATGGAGCTATGTCAGACAAGTTGATAGGTGAGGTTTTTGTTTTTGTTTTTAAAAGGAAATCATG